TGTGTGTGTGTGTGTGTGTGTGTGTGTGTGTGTGTGTGTGTGTGTGTGTGTGCGCCTCCTCACACTCTCCGTATCTGCCCTTTTTCCATCACTGGTGATTGAGCAGCACCACTTCAGCCTCAAATCAGCGCAAGGCAGACCCGGGGCAGGCCCATATTTCATATTCTTAACACAGCCTGGCCCGCCTCAGGTGTGCTCCTTGGATGGCTGAGTTTTCTCCATCCGAGCAGCCAAGATTTTGTTGCAGCCAACGTGTGCCAGGACCAGTGCGCCTTCAAAAACTTCTCGAAACTGCAGTGAACCTTCGGTGAAACTTGTGGAAACTGCACACACTGAACCTTTGGATTGTCTATGAGCTGTGGGCGTGTTTGACTTCTGAGAAATCTTTGACTCTTTGACTTTTGTGCCCCGGTGGGCCTGACTGTTGATTTTCCTAGGGCCTACACTTGACCTTCTAGAGACGCCCCTGTGCACCTTGATTTGACGCTGGACCCAAGGCCTACCAACCCCTAACTTAGGACTTTCTGACGGCTTCTCAGAGACTGTAAGTTTTTCTTTTTTCTTTTTTTACTTTCTTCTCTCTCTTTTTTAATAGGGTGGCGAGGTTGGGGTATCATTGTAGAACTGAGCGGGCCCAGGTAATTCAGAATGATAGTATTCTGGTCATCGGATTCGACGTATCTGGTTTCGAACTCGACTCTGTATTTCAACAGTTCACGGGGGTACTAACTGAGCTACCGTCTTCACCCGAATAGAACGCCCGGTCATTATGGCTGTATCTGGACTGAAAATTGCACCAAATATGGCTATAATGACCGGGCGCTCTATTCGGGTGAAGACGGTAGGCCCGTTGATCAGAGGCTGTGAGTTGGACGTTTTGAGCTTTGAACCGTGTATTTCGGCTTTTGGTCAGAAGCTACGGCCCTTTGACTTTTTTGCAATGCCGGTTCGGAGACTGCATCACAAAGGTGTTTGACTGCGTGGTCTTTCCCCCGAATAGAACACACGGTATCTAGACTGAAAGTTGTGCCCCAAATACAGCTAACATGACCCCTGCGTTCTTTTCGGGCGAAGACGGTAGACGTATATTCTATAGGACCAAGAGCCGCTTTTGATGGACTCTGGGACCCTCGAGACCCCCTTATTTCTTCTGCCCAGCCTTGGATCAGATTTCAGGTGTATGTTTCTGAGCTGTATTTTGAACCCAGTTCCTTGCATTTTCAAATAACAAATACTGTTGTTTAAAAATATATCATTAGTATCTTTAATATTTATAATATTATGCAATACTTGTAAAACACACACACACACACACACAAATATGGAGTACATGTATTTTTTGACCAAAACAAAGACAATAAAAAAGTGGGGAAAAAAAAGAGCTGGAGGAATGAGTGTGCTGTGGAGGTAGGTAGATTGGTGGGGGCGGGGGGGGGGGGGGGGGGGGGGGGGGGGGGAGGAGAGGGAGAGGGGGACGAAGAAGTGCAGAAAATGTGAGGACGGGGGTCCCGACTCCCGACCCGTTACCCGATCTCCACTCCTTTTATTTTATCTGGTTCACGGTATGTATTTGAACCTGATTTGCTCCAAGGTGCACCTCTCTGCCAATAGAAAGAAACACATCAATCTTAAGAAAGCAAACCAAAAAAGAAGAAAAAAAAGATGTGTGAGCAGGCTGTAGGAGAAAAGAGTAGAAGAAGATTTGGACCTACTTACTTCCCATGCCTCCGTTTGAAGATGGAGCATCTGTGATGATTATCCTGAACGTTTCCAAAGGTGCAGATTGCAACGACCCCTGTGGCCATGGTGAAGATGACGATGACGATGACGATGACGATGACGATGGCGATGGCGATGACGCTGACGCTGACGATGACGATGACGAAGACGATGACGACAATGATAATTCTGCAGCCGTTGGTGACCATAATGGTTCCGAGAATCTGGTCGATGAATCGCTTGGCGAAGGGGATGATGATGATGATGCTGATGATGATGACGATGATGATGATGAAGAAGAAGAAAAAGAAGAAGAGGAGGAGGAGGAGGAGGAGAATTGAGAGGGTAATGGTACAGACAACGACACTGCTGCAACCTCAGTTGCAGGCAAGTGCACACCAGATGATGATACATGGGCTAGCTCTTCCAATTCTCCGGCTGAAAGCTCAGCAGACGACGGAAAAGAAGATGCAGATGGGAGCTCTTGACTATGAAGCTGTGTGGAAAACACTGGAGGTCTATTTATAGATACAGGAGCCAACGAAGAGGACGGACCTCCAGCACGATCTTCATCAGTTGGCGATTGGATGGAGGATAAGCCCGTTGAAGGCAAACCAAGGCTGCTATGGCTGCTGCTATTCGAAAGAGGAGGAGGAGGAGGGGGGGGAGAGGAGGAGGCAGAGGAGGAGGAGGAGGAGGAGGAGGAGGGGGAGGAGGAGGAGGAGGGGACGACCACAACATCTGGCGCATTTGGTACAGCAGATGATAGTGACGATGAAGAAGGATCCATCGAAGGTGAAAGCTCGGGCGTCGTAGAGTTTTGTGAGGTGGGGGGAATATTGATCACTGTCGTCGAATCGGAGTCTTCGGATGACGATCCATCAATGAATGGCGGAGACGACGAGAAGGCAACGGGCGAAGATGGACTGACATCATCTGGACTAGAAGAGGGTACAGCGTTGCCAGACGCGAGTGGATTGTCACGAAGATCAGAAGAAGAAGACGGAGAAAGAGAAGACAATTCTGCAGACGAAGAAGAAAGTGATGATGACGATGCTGCTGCTGCTGATGCTGATGCTGCCGCTGCTGCTGACGATGATGATGATGACGGTGATGATGACGGTGATGATGACGGTGATGATGACGGTGATGATGACAGTGATGATGACGGTGATGATGACGGTGATGAGCCAGAGTCATTGTCAGGAAGAGGATTGGAAGACAGAAGAGAAGAAGAAGGAAAGGGAGAGGTGGAAGATGACGATTGGACGGTAGACGCCTCAGAGACAGTGGATGCAGGGGAATCTAAAGAGGCATGGGGCGATGGTGATGACGATGACGCAGCAGGTCTTGCAGTCATGTTCTCCCAACTACCCAATTCTGGAACATCAGCAATAGACAACGATGGAGAAGATCCAGAAGCGTCCCCTACCATCAGGCCAGTACCATTGAACTGTTGTACAGCAACTACGGTGGGGGACGAAAAGGACGAGGAGTTATGGCCATGGCTATGCGGCGATGAAGAAAGAAGGATCGCCGGCGCTGACGAGGAGAAGGAATCCATTGGCATGCTTGATGCAGAGTAGACTGACAGCTGCAGTTCCTGTACAGGTTCCCCGCTGACAGATGACGACAAAACCGGTGATCCTATGGCGGCTAATACCAGCCAATTAACTGCAAGCCAGTAGCAGAAACCCAAAGGAGGCAAGTAGAGAGAGGTGAGTGTACAAACAAAAAAGAAAATAAAAAAAGAGAGAGGTGTACATGAACAGGAACGAACAGGGGCAATAGCGAGGGGCACATACGAGCACAACGAAGGCAAAAACAGAGAAAGAGAGAGGGGGGGGGGGGGGGGGGGGGGGGGGGGGGGGGGGGGGGGGGGGGGGGGGGGGAAGGAGGGAGGAAGAAAGAAAACAGATCAAAATACATATTTGAAGATATATATATATATATTTAATTCAACTTAAAAATTAATCAATTTGAATAATTTCAATACTCGAAATGAAATACTGCGGTGGAAGAGAGGTCTTCTCCTGCTGCATGGTGGGTCCTCGAGAGAGAGAGAGAGAGAGAGAGAGAGAGAGAGAGAGAGAGAGAGAGAGAGAGAGAGAGAGCTCACAAACAGAGTGGGAAAGCTGTGCACAGGGAGAGAGAGAGCAAGATTATGCTGCAACGAACTCAGAGAAGTGGGAGAGATGACATAGATAGCAGAGAGCTCTGCACGTACTGCATGACTTCACTTATACGGCCAAAGGTCTTTGGAGCCTTTGGGGATTTTTTTTTTCCCCTTTGTTTCTGTGTGTGTGTACAAATCTTCCATCCAGTATGCGTGGGTGGGTGACAGTCCATTTAACTTTTTATTTTAAATGGGTGGATGACAGTCCCATCTGCATGATCTTGGGCCAGAGGACAAGTCCCACTAGCAGCGCTGAGTTTTCTCAACGCCCAAATCTGGACGTGTTTGTGGAGATGTGCGGTTGAGGAAACTCAACGCCATTTTCTGCACATCTCCACAAACACGTCCAGATTCGGGCGTTGAGAAAAGCTGCTAAAGGGACTTGGGCCCAGGGCAGATAATCGCTCTAGGATTTGTCAGGAGCCTCTTCAGACTGTCGAGAGTTGAACCTTTTCTTTTTCCATCATTTTTTTTTGGGAAAATTACATCTGTAGTAGATTCTGTACCCCATTTAAACATGGGAATCCCTGTCCTTGGGGACATCCATTAAAATTGGAACAATACAGAGAAGATTAGCATGGCCTCTGCACAAGGATGACACGCATTTATTTAAAAAAAAAAAAAAAAAAAAAAAAAGATAGGAATACCCGCCATACCCAGTCTCGGTGTTCAACTTGCATCCGTACCCGGGAAATGGTCTGTGCAAATTATTTGCATGCCCAGGACGGCGGTGGGCCAGAGTTGGTACCGCCGAATTGCAGTTATACCCAACGACCGGAATGCTCAAATTATGCTCATGCCCAGGCAAATTATCTGCATACCCAATTTTGCCTGCCCCGTTCCTGGGCATAAGCGTAATTTTGAGCTCCCCCCAACCAAGGCCCTGTGGGACTGGGTACACACATAAGTTGGCGCAGGGGAAAAGTAGGGTATTACATTAACTTGGACAGGGTCTGGGTATATAGATGCAAGTCGGGTGCTCGACTGGGTATAGCCGGTATTCCCATCTTTAAATAGGGTACAGACGCAATTTAAATTATTTAATCAATTTTACCTTCTTTTTGCAATCATACTCGTTCTCAAACACACTTTTCATGCATGTAAACAGCAAAGCAGCATACTGGCGACATGCGCCCACTCAAAACTCAGAGAAATGGCTTTCAGGCACGAGTTCACTCTTAATTGGCTATGGCGACTTCAGCGCCCAAACATCTCACTGTTCACATACACTGGATCACCCTGGATATCCCACACGCATCACTCTAACACTCGAGCACACACACACACTCACTACT